CTTTACACACAGAATGTGTGTGTGTGTGTGTGTGTGTGTGTGTGTGTGTGTGTGTGTGTGTGTGTGTATGTTTGAGACAGGGTCTCCCTGTAGCTCCAGCTCACAAAGGAACTTGCTATGTAGATCAGACTGGCCTTACTCTCACAGAGATCCACCTGCTTCTGCCTTTCAAGTGCTGGGATTAAAGGTGTGTGCCACCACACCCAATCTGGTCCATTTCTTCTAAATTAGCCTCAAGTTTTTCAGGATATGAGCAGACTGCAGCCAGATTTGGCGCACAGTTGACTTCAAGCTTATTCCCAGTAGTGTCCTTGCTCCACTCTGCACCTTCATAGGCCTGGTGCTCACTGTCCACATTTCTTTGGGTTCTCGAGTCTTTTGAAGTCCAGTAAAATAGCCTGTTAATCCCTGCACACAGCATTCTAGGACTTCTCTAGCAGCAACTTCGAACTCTTCCATACCTATGAACCCTGTGGTCAGGTTCATTGCTCAGGGACCCCACTCTGGCACCAGCTTTCGTTATTCGTTTCCGTGGTGCTGAGACCAGATGCCTGACCAGAAGCAACTTTGTTTGGCTCACTGAAGCTGTGGTCGGTCATGGCAGGGAAGACAGCTTTCTGCTGGACAGAGGCACACAGGGCTTCCTGCGTGTTTGTGGAGGCCATGTAGCTTTTTTCCCCTTTTCATCCAGCCTGGGTTCCCAGTTCATGATAAGGTGCTCTCCTTGTTTTGGGAAGATTTTCCTTCCTCAGTTAATTCTCTCTGGAAATTTAGAGACACACCCAGAATGTACTCCTAAGTGTTGTACTTCCAGTCAAGTTGACAAGATCAGCCATCACACCTTGCAGGTGATGGCTGCTTTTCTGAGTGTAGGACTTTGGGGGTCTTGCTGGCTACCTAACCTCCCCTCTCCTGTATTTGTCTCTGGCAGCTCCAGGAGGTTTTTCGACTTTTTGACAATGCTAACTGTCCAAGTCTACAGAACAAGCCGAAAATGTTTTTCATCCAAGCCTGCCGTGGAGGTGAGTGCCCTGGCAGACCAGCACCTGGGTGGTGGCTCCTGGGCAGCCTCCACCAGCTCTCACTTTCCTGTTTGCTCCTCTCAGGTGCTATTGGATCCCTTGGGCACCTCCTTCTGTTCACTGCTGCCACCGCCTCTCTTGCTCTGTAAGTGTCTCCCAATGCATGGGGTGTGCTAGGACTGGGGCAGCCATGGCTCTCAGTCTGGTCAGCTCTCTGCACCACCATATCCTGTTTTCAGGAGTCTCTTGTCCGTGTCTGCCCTTTTCTTTGAGAACTGGGACTCCTGTCCTTATTCATTGCAGTGTACTTTTTGTTTCTCATTCCTGTGAAGGGTTTTCTATCTCTTCCTCCCCCGTGTCTGTCTGTCTTTCTTGTCCTTTCCGTTTCCTCTCCTAACCTCTCTGTTCACTTCATTCTTGCCCCTTTATCATTGGTGGAACATACCGGAGACCAGTAGAGAATCCATGTCAACCTCGGACTCTTTCCTGAGCTGCTTCTGTCCCTTTTCTTTCTTGCATGTAGTTTCTTCTGCCCCTTTAAGAGCCAGGCCTAAAGACAAGGCTCAGAAGACACATAGGCCTCCTTCTCATCCTGGAGGAAAACGGTAGTAATTAGGAGCCTAAACTTGGAGTCAGACACTGACTCTACTGCTTAGTAATGTGTGAAGTTAGAGAAGTTCTTCATGTCCTTCCACTTCAACTTCCTTCATATAAAAAGGGGGTAGTCATTGTACATAATTTCTTAAGGCTGTTATGACGATTAAATGGCAGGGTTGCTTAGAGTGGTAACTGGCTCATGGTGAATCCACAGAGAAAGCCGGCTGTGACTGGAGATGGTCAGTGCCCTCACAGGGCTTATAGTTTGGGTTAAAGTTCACTTTGTCCAAACATGCAAATAATTTATGCATTGTGTAATAGTTAATGGTTCTGTCTGTCATCACAATATATGTCCTATGACTAGGACCATAGATGCCATCACAGAAGCAGAAGAAAATGTCTCTGAGGAGTGTATGGATTACTGGGGAAACTACAGGAAATATATACCAAGTAGCTTGAGACTAGTTCTCATGCAAGGGTGAAATTAGTGAGAGAGCATCTCTGTATGTGAGTGAGTACGTAGTACTGATAGATCATTTTCCATGGGGTTAGTTTGAAGAGATTTTATAGATAGGGAAGGGCTTGTCTTGGACCATGAATATATGATTCATGTAGATGTGGAGAGTTAGTCTTTCCCGGGAAAGGGGAAAGCACAACCCGACAAGCACAACAGCAGTAAAAGCCTCGCCCCACTCACTCCCCAACTGTATAATATACCTTCAATGCTCAGATCTAATTAGAAAGCTAAACCTCTCTATAAGTGATGCAGTGAGATGTGGCTGATCACAGGAGGTTGATTTAGCTAATTGCAAAGCTGAGATTTTGAGCTTCAACAGATAATACTTTGGGGAGCCTAAGTACCAGTGTGGTGAAATTTTCCAGGAAAGTTACAATGGCAGGGAGCTGTACTAAGGAAAGAGTGTTAGGGCAAGCGTTCAGTTCTTCCTTCACGGTGTCTTCAGGCCCAGAGCCCTGCTTGACATAGTGGCACCTGCAGGTATTGAGTGAACAGATGAAATTTTATGTCTAAAAAAATTGTAGCAATATAGAAAGCAATTGTGAAGAAAAATGGATAGTGTTTATTGAATAATAGATCTGCAACTTGAAGCAAGAGGCAAGTTTTCTGTCCCTTGAAGGACATACTTAGCCTGGCCTGTTTCCTTTAACAGGTAATACCAGCAAAACAGAACATTAGTGGTGATTTTCATCTGAACTCAGAAGTCGATATGATACTGGAGCTAGGTAAAGAAATTGCTCCTTACTGGAGTAATTTAAGTCTTGTGCTTATGCGTCTTCTCTAAAACTCAGTCCTTTCTAAAGGGTGTCCAGAAGCCAGTGTCCTCTGAAAATTTGAGCTTGGCAGTCTTCCTATCATGTTCATATCTGTAAAGTGACTCATGCTCTTGATAAGGGCAGAGAGTTTGGTTTTCTGTTTGTTCATTTGTTTTTTTTTTTCCTATGCCCACGGGTCTTAATAGAAGATAGTGTCTGGTACATGAACGTTGTTTGAGTCAATGAATCCTGGTCCTTCTGCCCATCAAGCACCTTTTTTTTTTTTTTTTTTTTTTT